AAACTTGAGGGCTGTTGGGTAGATATTGCAGCAAAGAGTTGGACTAATTTCCAGAAGGAACAAGTATTGCCAAGTTAAATGCTCTGCTTTATGGTAGACTGTAACAGGTGCTGTATTTTGACACTATAGCAACACCCAGCAAGTTCTTATGGTGAAATTCAGTTTTTCTAGGGTTTAAGGTGTTCAACCTTTCCGTAAAGATACTAAAAGCTCACTTTCCTCATTTTGCAGAAAGTAAAGGATACAGTTAGATTATAGAAATTTGTGTGGCTCTTTATCTCAAACAATATCTGTATGCTATCTTTCTCCATATTAAGGTCTTTCATTATCTTAGCCCATCATCTTATTAATAGATTCAAACTTTTCAAAAAGGGATAAAAAACCTAAAAAATTAGTGCTTTTTAACAGAAGTCAGTGTTTTTACTTTGGTACACTACTGCTAAAGAAACTGTCAAAAGGTTGACAAGAGGAAAAAGGATATAAAGTAAAGCAGTGTTGGAACCTTTCTAGGAAGTAAGTTAAAATACTCTCCAAACCAAGCCCTTACTATCTATCTTGTTTTCTTATAGTTGTTATCATACCTAGTAAACAACAGCTTAGTAAGAGTCATCAAGGAGCTACTCATTCCACTCTGGTTATCAGGTCTATATTAAAAGTTTCTAAGGGGGAAGTGTGAAACATTAGGAATTAATCATTAGCACCCTAAGAAGAGCCAAGAATAAACAGTTGCATCACTTCTTGTGCTTTTTGTAACTACGATTATTTTGCAACTGCACACATAGAAAGAAACAACAAAAAGCACTATGTAACTATTTTGCATTCAAGCAGTTCCTCAATGTCTTCAAAAAGTTAGACATTATGGTTTGCAACCAATCATGAAAAAAACCCCATGAAAAATAATTGTCCATTGAAGCCAACAATCTGTGGTTTTTTTCTTTTTTTTCTTTTTTTTTTAAATTAGGATTTTAAGTTAGATCAAAGCCACAGTCATAGGTTTGTAAGAAGGTAGCTTCTCTCCACACTGGAGAAATGTAAGAAGCATCTCTCCACACTGTACCGAACATAAAATGTCCTACACAATTAAAACCACATCACATACCAGCAAAACCTTCCTGAGGCCCAGGCAACCATGAGGAAGCCTTCTGGATGTGATGCTGTTTGAAACTGGAATTTGTTGTGTATGGCAACAGTCTAAGTGGCTCAGAGCCTTCTGGAAAGTGCCTTAAGGCATGAGGAGCCTTCATTGAAGTGGCAGGTGACTTTATGAGTGGCGTTGACAGAAGGAGTATGCAACAAGGGTGGTGTGCCTGAACAAAGGTCCTTGTGTGGGAGCTGTTGGTGTGGGCTTGTTGATCATAGTTTGATAGCTATGATCAGCTATCCTTGGTAGTGGTGGGCACTGGTGCTTGATACTGTTTGCTGGGGGGTGGTGGGAGAGTGGGAGAGTCTTGTCTAGCTAAATGAAGTACGTTCAGAAGGTCTTGCAAAAAAGTAACTTGTGGAGAGGAGCTATGCCCAGGCTTGGTAGGTGCCTTACAGTTCTGCCTCTGTTTGCTGGGGAAGCAGCAGGACTGTATTTGGGTGAGCACAAGCTGGGTGCATGGTTCCTTGTGAAGCATGCAGTTAGGTTTATGAAGGGACCAGGAGAGGGGTGGTACGAAGGGAGGTCTCCTTAGGAAGGGGTAGATGCATCTGGGTATCTCCTGTGTGTCCTGTACGCTGTGAAGGTGATGGGGTAGAGGGACCGTGGGAGTGGTGTTCACAAAGAGTGTGTCTTGTTTTGGGATGCATCTTGGCAGCTAGGATCCTTGTAAAAAAGGCCCTGTGATAGGGGGCCCTTTCCCAGGAGTGGTAATCAACTTGAGAGTGATGCTGCAGAAACAGTGTGCTACAAGGCCTGTGTTCTTGAGCTAGCATCCTCTTGTTAGGAGGCATTGGTGTGGGCATGTGTTAAGGGAGAAGGGAACCCTAAAGGTGGAAGGTGTTACCTGTGTGTGACTTGAGTTTCCTATGGGGTGGCAGGAGGGTGTGATGGTGTTTAAACTGAAGTAAATTGTGGAGTCAGAGAAATAAGAAAAGGGAACAGAGAGAGAGAGCCTTGTGCAGGAGTGGTGACCATGTAAAGGTGATACAAGAGGCAGGAGTGTGCAGTGGTGGCAACAGCTTGTAAAGCGTTGAGGCTGTAGAAGGAAAGGTGGGGAAAATCTCTTTAAGCAGTGGTGCACAACTGTGCAGTTTTCATGCACCGTGAAAGGTGCAGGGTTATGCAATGGTATTATAAATTAAGTGCTTCAAGTCAGGTGGGGCATATAGTCTGGTGAAAAGGAACTTGTGGGCAAGCAGTGTCTTGCTGGACAGAAGCAGGTGCCTGATATGGAAATAGTTTGCTGTGGCAGTGTCAGGAGTGTCTAAATCCCTTTGGTCCTAAAGGATTCATGGCCTTTTTAAAAAGAATGCTCCTGGGTAGGGTGTAGTCTCCTCAGGGAGAGACAGTGCCTGTGTGCAGTTTTGTAAGCTGTGAAGATGACATGAAAAGGAGAAGTGTGCGCTAATGATTACATTTATGAACTTAACAACCTTGTCTTTAACGGGAGTTTACAGTCTAAGGAAAAATGATGTCAAGTGGGGATGGGCAGAATCCTCAAGGACTGACAGAGGCTCGTGCGGTGTCACAGGTGGAAAAAGCCTACGGTGGTATTCACAGAGTAAGGGGCTAGCTTTTGGGCAGTTGCACACTTGTGAGCAGTTTCCAGTTGGTGTGGGACTAGTAGAAGTGCAGCTGCAGTAGTGTTCGGAGACAGGGTCTCCTCTGTTGGAAGCAGAAAGTGTTCACTGCAGGGTGGTGAGAAAGCTTTCCACAGGAAAGGTGCACACTGGCATATGCCTTCCACATATTCCATCCTTCCTGGGATGGGGGGTAGGAGGGGGGAATAAATGGTGGTAGTGTGGAGTAGAGGGTATGATGGTGTGTTTCCAAGAGAAGTTCCTCAAGTTTGACGGGTGTTTGGATGAGCCTAATCTCCTAATTCAGGAACTGCTTCAGGGATGGGGAAAGCCTTCCCCTGGAATGGCAGATGCCTGTATGTCTCCTGTGTGCTGTGAGGGTGATGGGGTAAACAGGAGCATGTGATTGAGTTTGCAGGTTGAACGTCTCAAGTTTGCAGAAGGGACCTGTCGCAAGGGCTGGAGCTTTAGCTGGGGTGGTAGGCAGAGAGGCTGATGGGCTACTGCCATTTGTGAAAGGTGGCAGGAGTTTTGCTGCAATGATGATTGTGAACCAAACAGTGTTTGTATGGGCTTGTATTGTAAAAGTGTCCACTGCAGGAAAGATTAGCCTCCCTGAGGAGGGGCAGATGCCTAGGTGAGGTTTACAAGGTCTGTGAGGGCAGCAGAGCTGGCAGGAATGTGCAGTGGTGATGGTGTTTACCTGCAAAGTGCCTTATATGAGAGGCATTTGGGTGGGCTTGAAGTCTCTGGAAAAAGGATGGAGAAAGGAGGCACAGACTTGCCCACAAGGAGCAGATGCTTTTGACAGTGGCAGGGTGAAGTGTGCTGTGGCAGCATGGGTCCATAGGTTAAGGGATTCAGGCAAGCTTTTCTCTCGTGAGAAGTGAGTTGTTGGGGGAATGGCAGCCTTCTGTATGACTTGCACATCCATGTGTGCAGCTTCCATATGATATGAAGGTGGTGAGGGTGGCAGGAGAGTGCAGTGATGCTATTCATGAGCTGAGTGCCTCATGTTTTGGTGGGCTTGTCCTCCAAGAGAGGACCTGTTATCTGGGGAGTCCTTACCCATGAGTTGACTGCCTTGTGTTTTGAGCAGCTTTCTAATCTTGTGAAAAGCAGCCCTCTGGAATGCATTAGCTGTCCCTAAGTGAGGCAGAAGCCCTGAAGAATGGAGATGTGTTGGAAGGAGCTTTGTCTAGGGGTGATAGGGGATTCTGAGGCAACATTTACCGGGCAAGAGCTTGCTATGGTCATGGCATCATGAACAAAGTGAAGCCTGCTAGGAATGTTCTGTGAGGTAAGGAGAAAGCCTTGTCCTGGAGTGACCACTGCCTTTGTACAATTTCTATTTGCTGTGTGGGCCTTGTAGGCAATAGCAGTGTGATGAGTGCAGTGATTTATGTTTGAGAGGATTTCATCATGAAAAAAGGCCATTCTATCAAGTGGGGATGGGTGGTGGGCAGACCCTGGCCTGTGAGTGGCAGATGCCTGCAACAATGGCATAAGCTGCAGGAGTGATGACTTGAACTTCCATGCATGACCTTCTTAGTTAACTATCCACCTCCCTTTCCTGCATTTTAGGTTAATTTACAGGGAGAAGTAAAGCAAAAAACAACCTTAGAAACAGTTAACATCGTGTGTTGTCTTACCCTCTGTGGACTTTTCCAGTGCTGCTTTTCTTAGCTGCCTCTTAGATGCTTAAACAGAGGCAGCTTTCTCTGGAGTCTTCCACCCACTTGAGACACTCTTTAAAATAAGTTCACAGAAAAGTGCTGAAGCCCACCTCAGACTTCAGCTTCTATTCTGACTATTCTCTTCTTACTCCCTACTTTAGAACACATGTTTTTAGGGCTATTACACTTTGATTTGTCATTTCTCTTTCCCATCCTTCTCTACTTTATTATGGTCCAGCAGAGGCACAAGCTACACATTCCCCAGACAACTCATATCCCCTCCCAGCACCTACCTGTTTGCAGTTACTTGAACTCAGCAGGGATTTCTGTTCTCTTTTGTATTTATGCCACAATCCAGATGGAACCTGGAGGATGAGCTTGTCCAGTTAGGATTTTGCAAGCTGATTCTCTGAAGCTGCAAGTACTTGTGGTGCCTGGAAGGCTCTACTGGTATGCTACAGCTGGCTATAATTCCCAGTTTAGGAATCCCTGACTTTGATCTGTCTACTGCTGATGGTCTTTTTCGAATTTGAACTGAGGTTAGTATGGGTTATAATTTAACTTGATTGGTATGAAACTACTTTCATTCCAAATATTGTCGGCTGCGCCAAGCACACTGTTATTCTAGGAGTATTCAGAGTCAGGGCAAAGGTGACTGATAATGTCCAAATTTTTGTTTGCTGTGGAAGGAGGTGGTGGGCAAAAGTTGAAAGGAAGAGAAGAAGGAAAATCTGACAAGTGAGTATGGTACTCTAACAACTCAATACTCTTTACTTGAAATGTAGGTTATAGGGTCATCCTTCTGAAAACCTACCAAGAGTAATTATTATAAAGTGTCTTCATGCTGAATGTTGAAATTCATAACTGTATAGATTTATTGGTTTTGAAAGACCCTGTGTATGCTGCTATAGCAGTCCCCTTAAAGATAATATTGTTTTACATTGTTATTTTTCATGGCTATTTAAAATTCTTCTAGATGTGATTACAAAAGCTTGCTGCAGCAATAGATAAGGATGGGATCTGTCACCTGTTGCACTCAAAGTTTCAGTGTTCTCTTAACAGCACTATTTTGAAGACTTCTCTCAGCTATGCTGTTACTCAGCTATGCTGGGTTTGTAGATCTAATTTCTGAATTGCAGATTCAGTTTATTGTGAATAGTTACTTTATAATTTTACCATCTTGACTCAATTTTTCAGCTTCATTTTCTTTCTTTGGAAAACCTACTGTGGCTTCCGTATTTGACTCCTCCAATTCTTTGAAGCGTGTCCTCAGGCATAACTCACAATATCATTTCAGAACAGTATTTTAAGTTATTATCTAATTCACAGCAGGGTATATTATTCACAAAATATTTTCCAGAATGATTGTTGGCACGGAACAAAACAAGATTAAGTATTGTTCACAACGGGTTGCTTCAAAGTTGTTTTGATTTTTTTAAATTCTTGTGTCTTGTTTTCAAAGACAAATGTGTGGTATAACCCCAGCCAGCAACCAAATGCACACACCTGCTCACCTGAAAGGAACTGAACCATTTTGTCACCCATAAAATGAAACAGTTCTTAGGACTTGCTTCTGGATGTAATTTAATACCCTGAATCTCAGAGCAAATGTGTAAAATTCTGGCAGACTGAGATACTCTGTAATGTATAACTTTATATGTAAGCAATCTGTTTCCATGAAACTCTTGCTGGGCAAGATTTGATCTGACATCAAGCCGTCTGAATGAAATTCTGAATGAAGTGTAGTTATCTGTGAGGATAGAAGCAGCAGGTGAAACATGACAATGCAGTAAATTCATGTTCATGTCTTTTGGATAGGAAAGTATTTTTTGATTATTTTTTTCTGCATAACAGTTTAGTAGATATTGTTTAAGAAGGAGTAGTGGAAAACAAAAAGTTTTTCATAAGCAGTAGTACTAAAATCTGGAATATTTCAAATAGTTTGGATAATAGAAAAATATGAAAGCCTCGAGTACAGCAAAAAGGAAAGATCTTGTTAGCTTTTAGCAGGCTTTATCTATGCAGAGATGTTTGCCTGTATTCCCTGCATAACATTACATTTAGATAAATATAGTAATGTAATAGTCTGTGGGCCACATCCCAGGCTGCCAAGGTGGTTCACCTGGCCTGCATCCTACTTTTAACCATCCAAGAATTTCTTGGCCTGAAAAAGGAATGAGCCACAGTCCAAATCCATATTCTGAGGGTAGCTGCTTATTTGAGATACTGTTGGCTTTCTCTTCCTGCCAAAGACCAAAAGGAAGTAGGGAAGTGTTTTGTGATCTCTGCAGTAAGTGTATTTCTTCTGCAAAGTTTTATACCTACTGTACCTACCTAGTAGTTTGTGTCATGATGGGAGACTGTGCTGGTTTAAAAGTAAACCAGGAGAAATGAACCCAACTCAAGAGAAATTACAAGTCAGAGTCACAATTTAGTAAAAAGATTATAAGTACAACGATACGGAGAAAAACTGTTTTTTTAACCTATTAAGACAGATGTATAACCCTGCACCCTGGAACAAGGACAGAACAGTGTTTGTTAGCCCCTGTGCTGAGCACCACGTGGCCCCCCTGGGGGCAAAGTAAAAGGAAAGGAAATCTGATGGTCCAGATGATGGTCACAGTCCTGTCAAGAGTGGTAGCCACACTTCTGTTGGACTTCTGGATCTCCTCTGGATCCAACAAGTGGTACCAGAAGTCCCAAACTCCCAAGACTATATATGCTCAGGTTCAGGTGGGAATGTCCAATACCTCCCCCAGGGCAGAGTTTCACAATGGGTGATTTAACTCTGCCAGTCATGGGATATTTTTGGTATCTTTTATGGTCTAGGTCATTGCAGCCGCCTATTATGCTGGTTCAGTATGACCCATTAGAAGAGATGACCCCTCAGGCTGAGTATGAATGTGCTAATGCCTCCCCTGAGGGGAGTTATCACAGCTGTTATCACAGTTATTAGCATGAAGAAAAAGAAAGCCCCTCGCAGGGTTTCTTTAACACCCATCTTGTAGCCTGAGGTGTCAGGTGTGCCCTGGGCAGCTGCTGCAAATGATCCATTATTAACTGTCCATCAGAAATGACATAGACTGTGTAGAACACACAGTTTTGGTTATACCCACGTAGTGATAAACTGGTCCCAGCCCCTGTAAGTAGGACAGAGACAAACTGAGGTATATTAATCTTATCTCCACAATTGGCAAAATTAGCAGGAAGGCAGATGCTCTGATAGAACTCTTTTATTACATTGAAATTGTGTTCACAGTGAGGGAATGTACCTACACAAAATTCCTAGGGTGGAGAGGGAGTGGGGAATTTATGCACGCCTGACAGTGTTGTAATCAACATTAAAAATTCTCTATTTAGACTAGAGTGTTATTCTGAACCAGACTTTTAATCTGCTTCTAACACAACAGAAATCCATATGAGTACCAGTGTCTGAATCGCACTGTAAACTTGAAGCACTATTCTTAATCGGGATTACAAAAAGATAGATGCCAGGGAAAGATAGATGCTTAATGAAGATGAGAAGAAGCTTTAAGGCCAAGGAAGCTGCCACTGACATTCAACTAAGTTCAAGTGCCTAGCATGTTCTATTGGATGTATCTAGAGGCTCAAGGCCAGACAGCAGGGAGCACTAAACCACAAGGGTGTTAGTGAAATTTACACTGGGTGATGTTGTTCATATATTGGAGTGACTGGAGTACATCGAAAAACAAACTTAATGTGATCCATTGTAGCAGCATTTTTTCTCATGGCATGGAGGTATCTAAAATATGAAGCTGGTGGGGTGTTTAGTGGGAATTTTCATCAGAAAACGCTAATTAAAAAAAAAAAAAGGAAGGGCTTTTTCAAAAGAATATGTTCTTCAGGGAGTCTTTGAGTGTCAAGAAAGAAAGTCTGAGAGCCATGGTAGTACTACAGTCAGAAATAAAATAATGGCTGATGAGGATATTAATCTAACTTCAAGCTGTGTCCAGGGTTCTGGGATGTCCAGCATCATGTAATTTCTGCTGGAAATGTTTAGTAATTTGCACAGAGAAGGATAGTTCCAGGACAAGACATGTGGAGAAGCCCTAGACAAGTGATGTGCATAGGATCATCCCCCTTTGTGATAGGCACAGGTTGATGTCCTAGGTGATGCAAAAAATTGAAGGAAGGCTCCTTCTCTCTCCATCTCTTCTGGTTTAGACCTCCTTTCCGCAAAAGACTGAAAGTCTGATTTATGCTTGAGCCTAATGAGAAGTTTTGGAATATAAAATACATAGACATGACTTTGAAAGTTAATGTTTGACAGTATCCCAAATTACTGTGAGGATTAGCATGAAAATTTACTTCTACTGAAAACCCTTGCAGTATTGTTTTTAAGCAGGAATTTGCTAATTTTTCCAAGCATGCTTTTCATATCCACCTGGTTTGTAATATTCTACTTGATAACGCATACTGAAGTGCTTGTCAGGCTTATTAGGATCTTGGTTGGTTAGTTTCAAACAAATACAAGTAAATATTTATAAAGCTTCTTGCTGATAAAAAGGAAATGGTGAAATATGTGCAGCATAATACTATAGCTGCCTTGTTGGTCATCAATTCTTTCTGTCCTTGGAAGTGTGTGCATTTCCTGAACATGCTGTAACTCATCACTATTCTATATTGGTGCAAATTCCTGAAAGTCAAGCAAGCATGCTTTTTAAACAGAATCCTTGGCAACAAGAAGAAAGAAAAAAAAAATTCACAGGGCTTATTTTTCTAAAGATTGACAGAGGCTACAAGTAGAGAGGTGAATCAAGTAAGCTGGATAATGTCCAGAAAGTGAGATTAAGAAGAAAGGAAAGAATCTTAGGCTCAGGCAGCAGAACGATAGAGTAATTTTCTAGGACTTAATAGCGTGACACCAGTGAGCCTTTTAGTTCTGTCTGCCAGTGTATTTATTTCCTTTCTAACTTAAGTTCAGTTTGTTGTACTTTTAATGCTGTCCTCAGCAAAAGAATGAGTCACCTCTTTCAAATAGATCCATGTTCCAGAACAGTGTAAGTTTTTATACATTAACTGAACAGTTTTCAAAGTTGGGAGAATGCAACACAAACAAGTTCTTTAGAATATACTTGAACTGCTGTTGACCACTAAAGAGTTGCAGCCAGATCCTTTACTAATGCAAATGGGTATAACCTCCATTGATTCCAATAGGGTTGTGTTGAGCCTTTGCGATACAATAACATACCGGGTAGGGAACTGTTACCACCTCATTTTCAGTTTATGTTGAAAAGGAGTCTTGTAATATTTTCTCTTAAATGACTGTATAGCACTGCTTTCATCTGGCTTCAGATGCTGAACAAATGAAATTCTTTTAAATTTTCTTCTGCTCAGTAAGTATTGTCAGCCTGGTCAGTACTGCCAGTCATCTGAAATGAGGTTCTTAATTTACTGAAGCATTCATGAAGTTTTTGATCACCAGAACCCCGAGGAAAGCTCTATTTCCTATACTTTTATTCCCAGGTCCAGCATGCAGAGTCAGTAGTTCATATCAGCTCAGAAAAGATGGAGCAGGATATGTCCAGCTCGAGGACTGAAGAGAAAACAAGTGTTAGATTTCTTATGCCTGTGTTGGCTGCTAAGTGCTGTGTCAGAGCTAAAAATGGTGTTGACAAGGAAGATACCATATTACTGTTGCTTGTGAATGACTCACTTTATCACTGTCTTCAGAAGGAATAAAAGCATTTGGATGTCAGGAAAAGTTTATACTAAAT